GAGACAGGGTCTCCCTGTAGCCACAGCTGGCCTGGATTCACTATGGAGATCAGGCTGGCCTCGAACTCACAGAGATTCGCCTGCCTCTGCCTCCTGAGTGCTGGGACTAAAGGCATGCACCACCACGCCCAAATGTCTTCTCAATTTTTTAACTGCTTTTAACAGACCAAAGGTTTTAAATTTGTGCAAAGAAAATTTTCTCTTTATTTTAAAATGTGTGGCTAATACGTTTGTTATCTAAGAACACTTTGCTGAAGGCAAGTCTAGATCACAAAGTTTTTCTGTTTTCTTCCAAACACATTAGAGTTTTGCATTTTCCATGTAGGTATATGATCCATTTTGAGTTAATTTTTGTAAGGTTTGAGGTTCATTTGTGTGTGTGTGTGTGTGTGTGTGTGTGTGTGTGTGTGTGTGTGTGTAAGTTGGCCTAATTATTCCAGTCCCATTTGGTAGGAAGCCTATTCTTTCTCTATTGAATTGCTTTTCTCTTTCTCAAAAGTTAATGGGAACACCCAGCATAGTGGTGGATGCCTATAATCCCAGATACTTGGAATCTGAGGCAGGAGGATGGAAACTTGAAGGCCAGCCTGGGCAACATTCCATCTCAAAAAAAATTTAAGAGCTAAAACTTAGTGCAGAACACTTGACTAGGATACACCAGGCCTTGGGATGAATCTCCTGGCTGTAATTATAAATCCTTTCTTCTGCCCCATTGATCTGTGTATGTATCCCTTTGTCAATGACAAATGTTCTGCATCATTGTAGCTTTATAGTAAGTCCAGTAATATGACTCCACAAAATTGTTTTGGTTAGTCCAAAACCTTTTCCTTCCCATATAAACATAGAACCAGCTAGTCTATATTTACAAAAAAGAAAAAATCCTGCTGAGCTTCTGATTGAAATCACATTAAATCTATGAATCACTTTGGGGATGAGTGACAGTTACTATGTTGACAGTTACTTCTCATCCATGAGCTTGGCATGTCTGCTCATTACATAGATCTTTGGTTTCTTTCATCACATTTTGTAAAATCCTGTGCCTATTTTATCAGATTTATTTCTAATTCTTCCACCTTTAAGGGATTTGTTTCAGATGGCACTGGTTTAAAATTTTTGAATTAGATTATACATGCCCAACTTTATATACACTCAAGAGTTTATAACTTATTGAAATTTAATTTTATTGTTTGCTAATTATTGCTATTGTATATGTGTGTTTGTGATGTGAAGGCATGTGATGTGAGAGGGAGCACACGCATACCACAACACACATGTAGAGGCCTGAGGACAACCTTGTGTGGCTGCTTCTCTTCTTGGACCTCTAGTCCCTGGACTCTGTGGGTCCAGGGATTGAACTCATGCCATCAGGCTTTCATGGCAAGTGCTTTTACCCACTGAGCCATATTACCCAGTGAGCCATATTCAGCCCCTCTCACTGAAGTTTCTGTCCCAAGGTCCCTGGGATGAGTGGGGGAAGGACCAGAAAGGGAAAACACTAGGATTTGCTCCCACTGTTTTGAGTTGAGGAAGTGTCCTTCCCCAGAGTGGGAGGCCGGGGTCCCCTCATCTTACCACTGTGAGTCCTGCTTCTCATGCCTGGCTAGAGGGCGGCCCCTGGGGCTCTTTTGCTCATGCTGTGTTTCACTCCTGGTTTGGGGAAAGTGTAGTTCAGGCTGAGAAGATACCAGAGCAAGAAATGGTGGACTCTCCACTGGGTTGATGGTACTTCAGGGCTTGCTCTCCTTCCCCAGTTCACCTGCCACTATGTACTACCCAGAGTCCTCAGAGAGCTAGTCTAAGCATTGTGTCCAGCTGCATTCAGTGGGAGTGATGGAGCACAGTGTGTGCTCTGTCTTCCTTTATGATGATCTATGTCATACTCAGAGTGGCTTTCTGTAGACTGTATATAGTTGGTTTTGCTTTTCAACTCAGTTGGATAATCTTTGTCTTTTGTTGTTGTTTGAGTCAGGGCCTCCCTGTAGCCCCAGCTGGCCTGGAACTTGCTATGTAGACCAGGTTGGCCTCCATTCTCAGAGAGATCTGCCTGCCTCTGCCTCTGGAGTACTGGGACTAAAGGTGTGCACTACCACACCCAGTTTAATCTCTGCCTTCTAACTGACAGGTTTAACCATTTCCACTTTAACGCAGCTATGGAAACAACTGAATTGTCTGTCAACTTGCTGTTCATTTTCTGTCTCATTTCTTCTTTGTTCTTAGTTCAGAAGGACCACTAGCTCTGGACCTGCACAATGGGCTAGAGTGTCTCAGGCAGGGTCTTGCTTTGGGCCTCTCCTTACAGGTCTAATGGCTGAAGACAGGAATTTGCAGATTTTTTTTTCTTGATTTCTGGTTGTTGATTATTAAAGGAGAATTTCCAGGGCAGCTAATTAGCAGAGAACTAGATAATCTTTTTTTATATCTAATTTTTGGCCAATTTCTTGTGATTATAATTATTGTCTATATTATAATAAGTGTAGTGATCATTCACTAGTGGTAGATAAAAGTCTCCATTCTGTTGTCTTTGTTTCTGTCTGTGCTGGATGCTTTAGTGTCAATTTGACACTCCTGGGCTGAGGAAGCCTCAACTGGAGAATTGCCTCCATAGGACTGGCCTGTGGCCATGTCCATGGGGCATCTTCTTGATTGTTGAGTGATGTGGGAGGGCCCAGCCCACTGTGGGTGGTGCCACCCCTGGGCAGGTGGGCCTGTGTTGCATAAGAAAGCAGGCTGAGCAGGGGCCAGAGGAGTAAGCCAGTAAGCAGTGTTCCTCCATGGCCTGTGCTCCAGCTCCTGCCTCCAGGTTCCTGCCCTGAGTTCCTACCTTGGGCTCCTGGATGAACTGTGACCTGGGAGATGTAAGATAAATAAACCCTTTCCTCTCCATGTTGTTAATGGTCAGAGTGTTTTGTCACAGCAATGGAGAAACAAACTAGGACACCTTCCTTCCTTTCTTCAGACTGGTGTTTAACTCTTGCGTTTAAGTGATCCTCTTGCCTTAGCCTAAGTAGTAGCTGGGACTACAGGCATGCGGCTGCACCCGGTTTGTTCTGTTGTTTTATTGATCATTTCCACTTGTATTATTATTCCACACAAAACGTGATTCTTTACAAAAACTTCTGAACCACTTGTTAAGTTTTCTGATACAAAGGTAGTGAAAATCACAAATCCTTTGGTAACTACACTGGCAAGGTAGTTATTGAAACAAACAATAGGGATCTGAATGCAATCAAGCAGGTAGGGTGGCCACCCCACCTTCTGCTTTGCAGGCCTTCCCCAAAGACCCAGGCTGCCCTCTCGCTATAGTGGGCATCTGTGTCCATCTGTCTTCCTTCAGGGTAAAGTGTGGCCTCCCTTACCTGCTCAGTTTCAGAATGAATCCCCAGGATCAGTCAGCAGGCCACGTCTGTAACTGTGGACAGTGTGGGCCAGGCTGTAGGGTCAGACGCTGCAGTTTTCTAACTGTGCTTTAATAGCACGCTTTGTAGTCCCTAGTTGGCCTTGTCATTATCTACCAAGTCACGACCAACACTTAAAACATGGAGTAGGGTAGAAAAGAGCAGACTTGGTCCCAGGTGATAAAGGTCAGGTATTTAAACCCCAAGAGAGATGGCTCCATGGTTAAGAGCACTGGCTGTTCTTGCAGAAGACCCAGGTTCGAAATCAGCACCCACACAATGGCTAAAACAATCTTTAACTCTAGTTCCAGGGGATCCAACGTCGACTTCTGTCCTCTGCAGGCACTATACAACACAGGTGCACTTACACACATACAGGCATAACACTCATACACATAAAATAAAAATAAGTTAAAAAATAAAAATAAATAAAAAGCCAAGGATTCCCTGAGCTTGGCTGGGGAGCTTGGGAATGTTATTTCCTATCTGTGCATGTTATAGATGGAAAATAATGCCTAGAAAGAAGAAGGCCCACCCAGCCTCACATAGCATATCTCCTAGAAAGAAGGCCCGCCCAGCCTCACATACCATATTTCCTAGGAAGAAGGCCCGCCCAGCCTCACATACCATATCTCCTAGAAAGAAGAAGGCCCGCCCAGCCTCACATAGCATACCTCCTAGAAAGAAGAAGGCCCGCCCAGCCTCACATACCATATTTCCCAGTTGCTTCCCATTCTTCCCAGTCACTTTGAGGAGTCTGGGAAGTGGAAAAAGTGGTGGGGGGGGGGCAGAGAGTGAGGCAAGAAGGAGAGGTTGGCTAAGGTAGCAGTCACTGAATAAGTTGTAGTCACTGTGGAGTGCTCTGTGGCAGTTACCTGTCTCACAGCGAGGTCCCTCGAAGGGCTCCACACAGATACAGCTGTAGTTTCCCACCAGGTCAACACACGATCCTCCATTCAGGCATGGGTCAGAGCCACATTCATCCACATCTAGAGGTAGTAAAGACGGACACTTGATTTAAGGCAGATTATGACCACCCTGTACCCAGAACCTGGCCAGAGGGGAGCCTCTCCCAGAACTGCGTGCTAGCCACACCCCTCCCACTTTGAGTGTGGGCCACTTACCTGTCTCACAGGTGGCCCCGGTGTATCCGGCCTGGCATACACATGCTGCAGAACTGCTCTCTTCCTGGCACTGACCGCCATTTTGACACACCTTGTTGTCACATGGGGACTGGACTACAAGTAAGGATCAGTGAATAGGACATTGGACTCTTGAGCTGATCAGGGCAAAAGCCCCTGAGGACACACACTGAGTCTCACCCTGATATATCTAGGCTTGCTGAGCAAGGAATCCTGGCTGACTCTGGAGGGTGACAAGTTTCAAGGGGGCTTGGCCAGGGCAGTCCCAAGGGCACCCAAAGCTCCATACAAACTGGCTCCAATTCAACAAACCTGGCACAGAGGGAGGGTATGTGTGCTAGACAGGGGTGTCAGGGGAATGGAACCAGTTCCTGCCATGCATCCAAGGGGACTTTGGGAACCTGGGGTTCCCAGCCTGTCTCAGTGGCCAAAGAGTAGCTATTGCCCAGGAAGTTCTGCTCCTGTCCCCTGTGGCCATTCTCAGGGTCACTCCCCATAGGCTGAGGCCTTCCTGGACAGCTGAGGGTCTCCTGGCTTTGGCAGGTGGATGAAGCATTGACCATTTGAATCACCACAGTGGCTCCCACACCTGGCTCAACTGGGAAGGTGAGGGCAGGTAGGGCCCAGCCTCTGCCTGAGGAAAAGCCCCTTTTGTCCACAATGTGTCCCAACCCTCCAGGCTCTGGCTTGGGCTGGAAAATGTGTCCCCTGTCCATGTTGGACAACTGAGGGGTCACTGCATTGCCACAGGTATTGTGATCAAAAACCCCTCTTACCAGATGGAAAGTGTACCACTGCACGCACCAAAAATGACATTCCTCTTCATTCCTTCTGAAAGTTTATTCCCTTTTCTGTGTGCAAATCTTTAAAAAATTGGATTTATTTATATTTTATTTGTATGAGTGTTATACCTGCATGTAAGTATACTATGTGTGTGCAATACCCACAGAGGCCAGAAGTGGGCATCGGATCCCCGGAACTGGAGTTTGAGACAGTTGTTAGCTATGGGTACTGGGAACCCAACTGGAGTCCTCTGAAACAGCAGCCTTAACTGCTGAGGCGCCTCTCCAGCCCCATGCCACCCCCTCAGAGCAGATCTTTTACTGTCATTCAACTACCGTTTTCTCAAGTAAAAATGTATGTGTGCACTGAAATGAAAGACTTAGCTTGTTGTGGCCATGAATCTTGATAGACATTGTTTTTCTAGACTGAGGTATTGATATGAAAACTATTTGAACACACTTAACCTAAATCCTCACCTCTTTTTTTTATTTATTATTTTTATTTTATGTGTATGAATGTATTGCCTGCATGTATGTAAGTATGCCCATGTCATGTGTGCTGGATAGCTTTAGTGTCAACTTTGATATACCTGGGTTGAGGGAGCCTCAATTGGGGAATTGCCTCCATAGGACTGGCTTGTGGCCATGTCTGTAGGGGAATTTTTGTGATTGTTGAGTGATATAGGAGGGCCCAGCCCACTGTGGGTGGTGCCGCCCTGGGCAGGTGGGCCTGTGTTGCATAAGAAAGCAGGCTGAGCCTGGGCCAGGGAGCAAGCCAGTAAGCAACGTTCCTCCATGGCCTGTGCTCCAGCTCCTGCCTCAAGGTTCCTGTCCTGAGTTCCTACCTTGGGCTCCCTGATGAACTGTGACCCTGGAGATGTAAGACAAAATAAACCCTTTCCTCCCCAAGTTGGTATTGGTCAGAGTGTTTTGTCACAGCAATGGAGAAACAAACTAAAACATCATGCAATGCCCACAGAGGTCAGACGAGGGCATTGGATCCCCTGGAACTGGGGGATGGTTGTTAGCTATCATGTGGGTTCTCTAGAAGAGCAGTCAGTGCTCTTAACCACTGAGCCATCTCTCCAGTCCCTAAACCCTAGTTTATTAAACTGAGTTGCAAATCCCATAAAGGGTGGTGTAACTGAATACGGGGGCTATGAAAAATTTTTCAGCTGAATTTCTGAATGCACAATAATGAAAAATTCAAAATGGAATGCATAATGAATCTAAGGGTTTCAGGCAGTGTTCATCCATGATGCATTGCATGACCTCACTACTACCTTGGTCTGAACACACAACATGCATGCTTTGTACTGCACATGCCATCATATCAGACAAGATCAATGACCACTGCTTGAAACACAGCTCAGATTCAAGCCTACTGTATGGTATGAACTCCAGTGTTTTTGTTGTGCATACAAAGTTTTCTTCTCTAATATAAATGCTTTATTTTTGGAAAACAAAGACTTTTAATATTTTCCTACCATCATCCCTCAGCATTTAAGTAATCAAATTAGTTTGTCTTTGTTAGAGTGCTTGATCTTAAAAATTGCTGTTTGAATTCCTGATTTAAATTTCATCAAAATGGTTAAATTACTTGTGTGTGCATATGTGTATGTATGGGTATATATATGTATGTGTGTACATGTGTGTGAAGGCTAGAGGTCAACCTCTGGTGTCCTTCCTCAGGTCCTGTTCACCTTGTTTTTCAGACAGGGTCTCTGACTGGCCTGGAACGTGCCAATTTAGGCTAGGCTGGCTGGTCAGTGAGCCCTAGGGATCCAGCTAAGTTTGTCTGTGCCAGTGATGGGAGGGTTACAAGTGCCTGTCACCAGACACCTGGCTTTTGTACATAGTTTCTGGGGAGCGAACTCAGTTACTTATGCTTGCAAGCACTTTACTGACTGAACCACTTCCTCAGCCCTATAGATTTTGGTTTGGGATCAGAACTATTTATAACAATTTCTTAAATGGTCATAATATAATTCTGTCATTTTGCACTATGTATTTATGTGAAGCAGCTTTCTCAGTACTGATGATAATAAAATTAAAATACTGATCAGCTCTGAAAAATAATGAAAATGTCCTGTGTCCTGCAAAATCAGATATTTAACCAAAATTTAGTTCTTTGGGTAAAATTAGAAAGCACATCCATGTCATTTAATATGCAAATTTAAAGAAATGGTAAAATTCTACTTATACCAAATAATTTAAAGAGAAATTTCATTATGATTTATCATCAGTAAATGTTCAATTTTTTAAAAAGAAAAGCCTTTTATTTTTTTCTATTATTTTAATTTTATGTGTATGTGTTATGCCTGCATGTAGGTAAGGGCACCCGTGTCCTGCAGTGCTCATGGAGGACAGAAGAGGCTGTCAGATCCCCTGGAACTGGAGTTACAGACCATTGTTAGCGGACGTGTGGGTGCTGGGATTCGAACCCGGGTCTTCTGCAAGAACAGTCAGTGTTCTTAACTTCTGAGCCATCTCTCCAGCCCCAGTAAATGTTCAATTTGTATACCAACTTTATATACCTATATGCTTGGGATTGCACAAAAATTTCTTGGACAAAAAGAGACAGTGAGTAGAGAGGGTTTAGGAAGCTTCATCTCAACAGTCTAGGAGAGTTTCATACTAATGGCCATGCTTTGGTCAGGGCACTCTGGGTGGGAAGGGCACACCTAACTGAGCTGTGATGAGAGCAGGGGTCACAGTGTTTGGCAATTAGGGACTGCCTTGACCTAGCTCCTTGGCCTAGACCCCATGGTGAGGATGGGGTCTGGAATGGTGTGGGGTCCACTTTCCTTCCCAGGGGGGTGCAGGGCCGGGGGGAGGGGCCTGAAGAAGTGCAGGTGGAAGGGCAGAAAACTGGAGACTGAATCTAACAGTGCATGCTTCAGACAGCTGGGCTGTGAAGGCAGAGGCCCAGCAGTGGTCTGGAAGCAGCAGTGGAGACACAGAACCCCAGAGCATCCACGCACAGGCTGTGAGACCCTGGGGAACAGGGCTCAGAGGCAGGTGGAATGTGTGGTGGGAAGCCTGTGCTCTACAAGCATGTGCCTTGCCCCTCCCAAAAGCTGTTCCATCTGACCCCAGAAATTCCCCACCTTCTCACCCCCAGCAGACTCTTCTGGTGGTGGCCCTGATCCAGTGCAGGACCTGCGCTCTCATCTATTCCAGTGCTTCATCCCTAATTTAGTGCCTGGGTCCAGGAAGGTTGTGTCTATTACAGTCACCCATGTTTGCTCCTGCCTACACCACGAGACGGGCCTTTCCTTTGACATGCAGCCCCTGCACCCCCAGTGACAGAGCTCTCTGCCCACACTGGCCCAGTCCTTCTGCAGTCATCAGCTTTGGTCTTACATGTGCTCACTGTCTTGCAGCCAGAAGGGCCGGGGGAGGGGGACTGGGTGTGTTCCTCTTACCTGATTCACAGGTGAGTCCCCTGAAGCCGGCTGGGCACTGGCAGCTGAAGCTGTTGATACCGTGGGTGCAGGTCCCACCATTCTGACATGGATGGGAAGCACACTCATTCACATCTGAAACAGGGAGCAGGCTGGGGCCTCAGCAGAGGAAACTGAGAAGGAACAGCCAGGGCCTGGGGTAGGGGTGGGGTTTCACTGAGCCCCAAACCCAGGCAGGCCTTTACTCAGTCAGGGTGGCCAGGGGCAGGACCCATCATACTCATTACCACATAGCCAGAGCATTTGGCCTCCTTCAGTTTCCATACCCTGGGCACAGAGACCTTTGCCCTCAGGGCCACTGCCTGCCCTACAGTGTTCTCCTTGAGCCTAGTGTGGCCAGTGGGTGGGTGCAGGGAAGTCAGAGTGGGTGCCTTGTCCCCACCTGGGTACCAGTAACTCACCCAGGTGGCACCTCCGCCCTGTGAAGCCAGCGAGGCAGGAGCAGGTGTATGAAGGATTGCCAGTGACGCAGTCATCAATGCACTTGCCACCATTGAGGCACGGACGCAGGACTAGACACACAGAGGCTGTGGACACAGGAAGGAGCCCAAACCTCACATCACCGCATCTAGGATGTGGGCAGGAGAGCCACCTGCAATGGCCATGTCTCCCTTCTCTCCCTAGCCAAAGGGTCAGTTTAGTGGCTATGCCACTGGCTACAGTGCACCTGTGGTTTCTGTTTCTGAGCTTTTGAGCCAGAGCCCAGTGTGCCTGGTGGATGCTTTTGCCAGGAGCTCTTGCTGGTTATTACTGTCCTAGATTTTGACTCTGGCTTCCTGTGGAGACAGACATTCCCCAAATCACCTGTACCCTCAGCTCCTGCTTGTGCCTTTAATCCTTCCCAGCTCTGCCAGGGGCACTTCCAGAAGCTGGTTTCCTTACATGTAAAGTGAAGGGTGACACTCAGATATCAAAGGCAGCATTTCTTACAGGATGGCCTTCCAGGGAGGCCTCATGGGGTCCTCAAGGGCTTTGGCAGCCCCATGCCCAGGTCTATGAGGTCAGGCTGGGTTCCTGGGGCCCTGATCCTTGGAGAGAGATGGCTGCTGAAATAAGAGGCTAATCACAAATTGGCAGGTGATCAGAAGATCTCAAGGAGTCCTAGTGCCTGCTTCTAGGAGGGCCCCAGGGAGGCTCCAGGCAGAACCTAGTGACCCACAACACCATTAAGGCTGTGGGTATCTCCTGAACAGACAGCTTACCTTTCTGTCACAGCACTGTGTTCACTCGGTCTGCTTGAAGTTGGGCTGCCCTTTTACAGCCATGAGTGTTGAAGGAGCTGGGCTTGTTTAAAGGTTAGCCCTACAGAGATGAGGCACTGCCTCTCAGGTACCACCCATCCTCCTTTCCTGAGCAAGTCCATGTTTATACGGCCTCCCACAACTGACCCTGGGCTAGGTAGTGTGTGTCTGAGAGGCTTGGGCTTTCAGGGCAGCTGTGTCCCTGGCCCCTAGAGGCACCATGGGCGGTAGGGCATCTCTGCAGCTGTTTTCTTCGCCTCTTCATCTCAGAAACCTAGGAAAAAGCCCTCCATGGTGGGATGGAGCCTGAAAGGGGCTGACTGGATCCTCTTGTGTGGGCCCCACACTGGCTAAGCTATAGTGAGCATGGCTTGCACACACCAGCACTTTGCTTCTCAACCTGAATTGCCACTGTCCCAGAGCCCAGGTGTCAGAGATGACTGCTGGCTGGGAGGAGGGGGTTACCAGAGGGGGCTGCCCTAGGGTCTCTGTTGTGTCCTACTTGTTGCTCTGGGGCCGGCAAGGGCACAGCAGTCAGGGGCCTAGCAGGCCAGGTGTGTGTGGGTCAGCTTCTCCCTACCCAGCTGCCCACGATGTGCCTACTGCTTTTCATCTCCTCTTCCATGATGGTGGACTTGCTCCTCTGGGTCTCTTACCCTGGCCTCAGGATATATACCGATGTTCATCTCCCTGCCTGCTCCCCAGCTGGTCTGTTGGGTCCCCCAGCTGAGTTTGCTGGTGAGGGAGGCACGACTCAGCACTGAGAAAAAGCACCCAGTTCCATAGCCGTGTCTGGATGAGTGGGAGGTGAGTTCAAAGTCCCTGCAGAGGCCTATTTCTGGCCCATGTTTGGCAGGGCTTGGGACAAGGGACTCTCCAGATAGCTGCAGTTAGCATGTCAGTGCCTTAGTACCTCTGTACTGTGGGTAATGTGTTCCTGGGCTCGGTGGCTTCTGGAGACTGCACAGTGGCAGTCATGGGGATCCTGGATGTGCAACTACAGCTAGTCTGCTACCTGGAGAGGGGCATGTCCCTACTGCCCATCTGCTTGCTCAACTAGAGTCAGAATTCCCCGGAAACGGTCCTGTGGTCCCTAACCCTAACCCTGTGGTCCTCAAGCTTGTCACCATCAGTCCCACACACTGTATGGTTCTAAGGATGCAGTGCCTGCCCTGCGCCCACCCAAAATGGAGGCAGTGGTACGATGAGAGGAGGGGTGACCTTTATCTGCCCTTTTCCCCCAAGACCCAGGTTGCCTAAAACCTGAACCTTCCTCTGCTGCAGACTCTCCCTGACCCACTGCAGGTGTACAGGCTGGTGTGTGTGTGTGTGTGTGTGTGTGTGTGTGTGTGTGTGCGCGCGCGCGCGCGCGCGTGCGTGCGTGTTTGCACTCACGCACTCCAGCCAGGACTCCAGTCCGCCCCTGTGCCCCACCCCTCCTGCCACACTGGTTCCTCAGCCCTCCCCACCCTGAGCCTCTTGCCCGCCCGATCCTCTTACTTGTATGGCCGCAGCCCCCCACGCGCACCTGGGCATCATCGATTCTGAACGCCCAGCGCCCGGGCACGCCCACATTGGTGGTGGTCTCCACCTCAGCCATATCTGCTGTGCGTGACCCAGGGATGTTGAAGTAGCGGTGCCCATCGCCTGCGTTGAAACCTGCCTGGGGACAGGGCAGTGAGGGAGGCAGGTCTCTTTATAGACCCTAAGCCCTCTTCTGGATGACCAAGGCCAAGAGAATGGCCTTTAAGCAGAGGACACTGCAGATGCTGTGATGAGCTGGCCAGTCCTGACTTCAACCAGCAGTTCCTCCAGCCAAGCATGATATTGGCCCCAGCTTCCCCCCTAGCCTCCAGGATGCACCTATTGGCTTCTGAGCCTCCCCTAGGGCCAAGGGGATGTTCAACCGAAGGAGAAAGTTGGGGTCAGGAGGTGAAAGGAGGATCACACCTTGAAGGGTTGGCATACCCAACAGCTGGGACTAAGAACCTCCAGGGGGAGGAAGGAGGAAGGGGCCTGAGGTTATTTTGTACTTCCTATACTGAGAGGTCTTGGGGACTTGGAGTCACCGTGGATGCCTCACACTGACTTCTGCACAGTACCGGGAGGTACCTGCTACACTCCATGTCTGCCTAGCTCTCCAGCTCATACCACCTTGGCAGAAGAAACAGGGACCCCTGAACTCTGAGCACCAACCCCATCCTGGCCTACCTGGGCTGCAATGCCCCCCAGGCCGGTGGCATCACCCCCGCTGCTGGCATGTGTGCCCGTGGTCCACAGGATGGACTCATAGTTGAAGATGGTGAAGGAGAACCTGCCATCAGTGATGAGTACAATCTGGAACGTGTTGACCTGTCAGGAGAGGGGCTGGCTGTGGCCGGCTGCACACCCTGTCTCAGATCCAAGCCCTGCCTCCCTCAAATGAACAGACAGGCAAGGCAGGACCTTGATGGCCTTGTCCACCTCTTCAGCTGATGTACTTCTACACTGTGTGAAGCGCAGGGCCAAGACGCCCAGAGCAGTCACTGCCCCCAGCCTCTGCAAGAGCTGGGGAGCAGCTTCACAGAGGGCTAGCACTCACTCAGTCAAATCCACAAACATGTAATGAGAATAAAAACAGAGTAAGAGGAAAGGAAAAGAGGAAGGCAGCTTTCAGTACTGGGTTTTACAGTTTTTGTGCAATTCTTCATGAACACACCGCTCAGTGGTATGCCCTGAGATGCCATTTAGATTGGGGTGACGAAACGACCTTGGGAGCTGAAAGGTAAAACTTGTACCTTGTTTCACATTGGACAAGAAAATAAAGCCCATATCAAGTGTGTTTTTAAAACAAAACCATGGAAGTCCGAGAAGAAAACACTGGACAATAAATGCTCCTCTCAGTGGAGAAGAACTTCTGCAACATTTGTTTACAGGAAAAACCAAAAGGGAGATTAATACACTTAAGGACAAAAAAGCCTCTGAATAGGAAATGTACTACAATAATAAAGTGGATGGTAAATAGCTTAGCAAAAATGTATTTATAGCATGTGGCAAATAAAACCACTAATATCCTTTACTCCAGAAGAACTTATACAAAATCAATATAAAAGGACCAAAAGTATTAAGAAAAATTGGTTCAGGGCATGATAAACGTGATAATAGAATGCCATACCAACAATGCTAGAAAAAAATCCAACATCTGTAGAAATCAAAGACATATAAGTTTAAAAAGATCATTTCTGGTTTTACCTGCAGGGTTAGCAAAAAAAGGAAGGGGACAGTGCACTTAGTTGGGGTTCAGGGAATAGGCACCTCAAATGGGCACCTGTGGGTGCAGTTTGCATACTCTGAGAGGACATCAGGCTGCTCTTGGGGTATGGTTGCACTATGATCACAAATGGCCATGTCTTGGGCAGCTGATTTCAGGCATTGGAAACAATGGGCAACTGAATGGGATACACCCTTATATAAAAGTTGGCATGAGAGGGGCTGGAGAGATGGCTCAGTGGTTAAGAGCACTGGCTGCTCTTGCAGAGGACCCGGGTTCGATTCCCAGAACCCACATAGTGGCTACAAACCATCCTTAACTCCAGTTCTAGGGGAATCCGAAGCCCTCTTCTGACTGCTGCGGCATTGCATGACACGGGTGATCTCACATACATGCAGGCAATACACTCATACACATAAAATAAAAATAATAAAATATTTTAAAAAGTTGGCATGAGAGACAGTCAGCAGCAAATGCTAACACTCTGTGTGGGTGGCAGGAAGGGCCGTGGTGGGGCTGTGGGGGAGATAAGGTGATGCACAAATTATCTCCATCACTTGGTGGTAATGTGCTGCTCCAGGAGGTGCTGCCTGGCTAGAGCTGTACTTCTGAGCACATCTGGAAGTCTGCTGTCATTGCTAATTACCTGTAGAAGCTCCACAGACTGGGTCTTACCCTGTTTAGAGACAGGGCTGTATTCCAGTACCTAGGATACTGCCTGCCACCCAGAAGGTACCCTTACAAAAGTGCTTGAGTGTGTGAACATCCATCTCTGAAAGGCCACCTGCACCTCAGGGCCTCTATCTATGTTCCCCAGCTCCCAGTGTAGGTGCTCAACAAACACCTGGCTGGGTGGGTGACTGCTGTCCTCATGAGGGAGCATCAGCTGCCCACATTCACTAAAGAGGCAAAGGGCTCAGTTACTCAATCAGGTTGACTGGTATCAGGGGTAAAACAGAGCAGCCGGCTATGGCGGCACAAACCTACAGTCCCAGCACTCCAGAGGATAAAGCAAGAGGACCTGGAGTTCAAGGGTTTCCACAGCTACATAGTGAGCTTGAAGTCCACTTCGATTACATGAGACCCTGTTTTGAAAAAAAGCCAGCAAGGACTGGGGACATGGCTCAGTGGGCAAGAACACTTGCAGCACAAGCATGAGGACCTGTGTCTGAATACCCAGCACCCAAATAAAAAGCCAGATGTGGTTATGCATATGCCTGTAACTCCAGTTCTAGGGAGTAAGGGGCAGAGACAGGAGGATTGACTGGGGCTTGCTAGTTGCAAGCCTAGTTCCAGGTTCATGGAGAGACCATCTCAAGAGAATAAGGGTAGAGAGTGATAGAGCAGGACACCGATGTCTTCCCCTGGCCTCTATATAGGCACACACACACACACACACACACACACACACACACACACACCAAAACAAAACCCCTCGCAGGAACCAGCCAACCAACCAAACAAAAAAACCCACCCAGAGAAGCCCTCCCCAACAGAAGTGTTGGCGAATCAGCCATTCTAAACAGAAATCCTAGGACCATGGTTCCTGTTCGGTTCCTGAATGAGAACTGCTATGCAGGGCTGGCCTGCTTCATGAGGCCTGAGGAGTGAGGCTCCATTCTTCTTGTCCCTGGCTCTGTGCTTCCAACCAAATGACATGATCTCTATGCCCAAAGATCCTTTTAGGTGTAGACCATCTACACCTGGCCTGCCTTGGCAGGGTCCCAGCCACATAGCCTCCCTCTCAGGACAGCCACCTGGACTCACAGGGGAAGAGGAGCTGCCTCCAAAGAAGGTCACACGGTACCATGTAGCAATAAAAACCCAGGTTGCAGAGAAGTCTAGGAGCTCAGGGAAGTAGCGTCTGATGTCCTCTGTGGCTCTGTGCAGCATGGCTGAGTTGGTGGCCTCCCTGTAGTAGACATCACCTGCACGCCGGTTGTCCACATCTGCCCAGAAGGCTGCTACCACACGTCGGTCTTTGGCGATGGGGAAGGCCACAGGAGTGAACTGAGAAACCTCCTTCAGGAAGGAGATGATCCCATTATTGTTCACCTGTGAGGCAGAAAGCCAGGAGGGGATGGACTGGGCACTGCAGGCAGGTGGCCAGCCCAGCAGCATCTCAGTTGCCTCACCCCCAGTTTCTTCTAAGAGTGCTCCAGCTCTGGGCAGGCATCCCAGGCTGGCTGACAGTCCCCTATCCCTGAAATGGGATCATGTGGTACTGTTCTATCCTCCTAGACAGGTCATGTACTCAGGGCCAGACTCTGATCTGTGTGCTGTACCCCTAGTCCTGGGCTGCTGCCTAGGCCACACTAGTCTGGGGCCGTGGGAGGGTGGATCAGGGTCCTTTCATTGATCCAGGTGAGCAAGAGCCTCATTCAGTGTGGCTAGGGCCCAGCTCAGCTTGAGAAGGCTGTGATGGCCAATCTGGGGACTGTGTGCTTGGGATTCCAGGCAGCACAAACTCCAGAAGCCTCTGGCTTGACTCTGCAATCTGCTAGCTGCGCATCCTGGGATGATTTGGCCCATCTCTCTGTGTTCTGGTTTTCTTACATATGAGACCTGGCCAATACTATCTGCCAAGAGAAGTGGTGTTAAGAGGTGGAGGTCTTTGGGAGGTGATGCAATTACAAGGGTAGAGCTCTCAGCCAGGTGTGGTGGTGCACACCTTTAATTCCAGCACTCCAGAGGCAGAGACAGTCAGATTTCTGTGAGATCAAGGCCAGCCTGGTCTACATAGTGAGTTCCAGGCCAGATGGAGCTGTGAACTTCAGGTAAAAAAAAAAAAAAAAAAAAAAAAAAAAAAAAAAAAAAAAGGTAGAGATCTCATGAACTGGATCAGGCCCTTCCTTATGAAAGAGGGCCACAAAACTGCCTTGTACCATCTGAGTATACAGTAGAAGATCCTGTTTATGAACCAGGAGGTGGGCCTCACTAGTCACAGACCCTGAGACCTGGACCTTAGACTCCTCACCCTCCAGAACTGTGAGAAAGTAATTCCTGATGTTTATAGGATATCTAGTCTAAGGCAATCTGTTACAGCAGGTGACAGGCTCTAGCCCTGACCTCATAGGGTGCTAGGCAGTGAAGCATGAATTGCTGGTCATATGCTAGGCTCTATGCTGTGGTTATTTGCTGCCAGGAAAACTGTGACCAGACTGGGGCCTTTAGAAAAGTCTGTCTTTGGAGTGAGGGCATGCTGTGTACTCAGCTCAAAGGGGAGGCGGATGATTACACCTGTCTCCTTCAGAGCTCTGAGGGTGAGCAGGGGAGTAATGACACTCGTCCAAACCGCAGGGGAGAAGCATGGGTGCTGCATGCATGCAAACCCTTTCCTGAATGCTGCTGAAATGTTAGGAGTTGTAGAGGAGAGCAGTGTCACAGCTCAGGGCCAGCACAGGCCGGGATCCTGTTGAAGTACATCTTGAGTGGGACTCTTAGGGGCTCTACTCATTTAGAGAGAACACAGACACAAGCAGCCTGTTCAGGCTCTTGAACAACCCAAGGTACTTCCGGTCTGGGCTGCATGGTGAGGTGGGCTTGGACAGACAGTTTCCCTGCCTCCCAAGCCAAAGCAAAGGAAGTGTGCTGGAGGAAGACAGACCAACAGAACAGAACTGAAGCCCAGAAGTCGACCTGTGCATATACGGGGGATACTGTTACCACTCAGCAGGGCAAGGACCACGTTTCCAATAAATGATGCTGGAAAACTGGATATCCACATGCAAAAGAATGAAGCTGGATCCTAATGTAATGTTATACACAAAAACAGACTCAAAATAGACCAAAGACCCAAATATAATTACAAACTCTTAAAAGAAAGCACAAGGGAAAAGCTTCATGACATTCGATTTGGTGACGACTTCTTAGATAAGACACCAAAGTCATTAGCAATAAAAGAAAACAAGTTGGATATCCTGAAAATTAAAAACTTTGATGCATCAAAAGCACTATCAATAAAGTAAAATGGCAGCCCACAGAATGGGAGAAAATATTTGCAAGTCAAATGTCTGATAAAAGATTAATATTCAAAACATGGGGACACTCCTAATAGCCAACAAGAACAACAAAAATAAACATCTTGATTAGAAAAGACTTGAAGTTTCTCCAAAGATGATACCCAAATGGCCAGTAAGCCCATGAAAAGATGTTCTACAATCACTAGGAAGTGCGAATTCAAGCCGCAACGGGACCCTGCCTCACGTATATTCAAAGGGCCATTATTAAAAAAAGACAAAACAAAGTTGCAAGTGTGGGTGGGGATGTGGAGAACTGGAGCTCTGCTGCATTAAAGTGGGAATGTAAAATGGTGCAGTCACTGTGGAAAACAGGAGGTTGGTTCCTAAGAAAATTAAAAGTTGAATTGCCATAGAATTAGATAAATTCACTTCTGGTTAGATAACCAAGAGCACTTTTTTGAGACAAGGTCTCCCTGTAGCTGCAGTTGGCCTAGAACTTGCTATGGAGACCAGGCTGGCCTTGTTCTCAGAGATCTGCCTGTCTCTGCCTCCTGAGTGTGCCACCATGCTTGGCTAGGAAAGCTGGTTTTTTTTTTTTTTTTAAATTGAGAATATATATTTATTTATTTTAAAATCGAGACAGTGTCTCACTATGTAGCCCAGGCTGGTTTGGATTATCTGGTTGTGATCCTCCTACCTGTGCATCCCAGGTGCTGGGATTATAGGCATTGTGCCACCCTGCCTGGCTTGAAAGCCAGGTCTTGAGATTTGTACTCACATTGTAGTGCAACATTTTTGTACCCTGGAAGCAACCCAAGTGCCCACTGAGTGATGACTAGGTAATCAAGATGTAGCACATACAAAGAATGCGGTAACTTGAGTGAGCCTTAACAGCATCCCGATAAGTAAAACCAGCCAGTACTTACAAAAAGACAAGTGCTCTGTGATTCCGTTTATATGAGTCCCCTAGAGTCATCAGACTCATGGAGGTGGAAAGTAGGTGTGGTTTTTAGGAGCTGAGGAAAGAGGGCCACAGGGAGTCATTACTTAATTAGAATAGAGTTTCAGTTCTGCAAGATGCAAGGAGTTATGTGGATGGTGACGGCAATGGTCACACAGCAACCGAATACACTTTACTACTACTAAACTGTTTATACCTAAAAATGAAGGTGACATTATGTTTATTTTACAATGAAAAATTAGGGGGGAAAGGCCATGATAAAAAGAAACTTGATAAGCGTAAAAGAAGGTATTTCAAAGAACAAAATAGAAGAGAAAGGAATCAAATAAATATCAGAGATTAAGAAGCAACAAAATAGGGGCTGGAGAGATGGCTCAGCGGTTCAGAGCACTGGCTGCTCTTGCAGAGGACCCTGGTTTGATTCCCGGCACCTACATGGCAGCTACAAACCATCCTTAACTCCAGTTCCAGGGGAATCTGAAGCCCTCTTCTGACCTCTGTGGCATTGCACAACATGGGTGCACTCACATACATGCAGGCAATACACTCATACACATAAAAATAATAAATAAAATATTTAAAAACAAAAGAAGCAACAAAATAGAAGATTTTAAAATAGATTTTATGTAATTACAAAAAAGTAGTGAACTGAAACTAAAAGGCAGATCAGTGAAGAAACTGTGTTGGGGGCTGGAGAGATGGCTCAGTGGTTAAGCACACTGGCTGCTCTTGCAGAGGACTTGGGTTTGATTTCTAACACCCACATAGTGGCTAACAACCACCCATAACTCTAGTTCCAGGGGAATCCGACATTCTCTTCTGACCTCCCTGGGCATTGCATGACACATGTACACTTATATACATGCGGGAAATACCTTCATACACATAAAATTTTAAAGAGGAAACTGTCTGGAATTGAGAATAGAGATGCAAAGATGGAGGGCTTGGACTAAAAGATGAGAGACACAATGAGAGCAGGAACAGACAAGTGCATGACTTGGAGCTCTAGACAGAAGGGAGACAAGGGCAGTGGAGAATGTTCTAGAATTGATGAAGGACACGAAGCTGCAAATCTAACAATCTCAGGGACTGACTGACTGGCTGGAAAAACAAAAGCAAAGCCATGCTGAACCAGCACTAGAAGTATAGACAGTCAACTGTAAGATGCCATTCTGGGGGCCTGAGAGATGGCTCAGTGGTTAAGAGCACCGACTGCTCTTACAGAGGGCTAGGGTGTTTGTAATTCCAGTTCCAGGGGATCTGACACCCTCTTCTGACCTTCGAGGGCACTGCACGATACCGGTACACTTATATACATGCAGGCAATACACTCTTACGCTTAAAGAAAATAAAAAAATAAAATAAAAAAAGCCATTCTGAAAGGGAAGTGGATGGGCAGCAGCCAAGGGCAGCTCAGGTGCTGAATTTTCGTGGAAACCAGGGAAGCTAGACAACAATAGAGTCACATCTTCTATGTGTCAAAGGACAGCAGTGCCAACATGCAGCCTTGTGTTCAGATGAAATAACTTTACTACTGAAGGTAAATCACACAAATAAGGTAACGAATGCATAAATATGAATAAACAGCAGACCCAATACTTAAAGAAGTTGTGATGGATCAACTTCAAGTTGAGGAGAAATGTACGGTCAGAGATGCAAGAGGGAAGAAGGGAGAACTTGGAGCACAAATCTAAGTGGACGATGACCATTCACGTAGGGGAGTCTTATGCAATGCTTCATGGAATAGCACATTAAATGTATGAGTTAAAATTCATGAGAACAAAAGCACAAGACTCAGTGTACTGGCTACTTTCCTGTTGCTGTAAATAAACACCATGACCAAAAGTGACTTATGGAAGAGTTGATTTAGGCTTTTGGTTCCACAAGGAGTGTCCACATGGCAGGGAGGACAAGGCGGCAGGAGGCTAGAGCAGGAGGCTGGGAGCTCACATTTTCTGATTCTTGCAAAAGCAGAGAGCTGGAAATGGGGTGAGGCTATAAACTCAAAGTCCTCCTCCACTGTGTGCGCCCTCCAACAAGGCTCCACCTCCTAAAGGCCCCATAACCTCCCCAAACAGTACCACCAACAGGATCTTCATATATGTGAGTGTATGGGGAACATTTCCCATTCA